TACCGTCTGCAGGTTCATCCATGTTGCAGCAGGTGTCACAGGAGAGGAAGAAGGGGTCTGTGCTGTAGCCCTTGCAGGCCCAGACAGGCCCTGGAAGAACAATAACCTGTGACTGGACCCAGGAAGAGTGGAAGTACATACGGGGTAGAGTTGTAAAGGCAGCCCCTCCCTGATGTGGCCCTTCCTATCCAGGCAGGGACCTCAGGAGACATCGTGCCCATGTTCTGGGATGGCTCTCTGAACAGCTGGGAGGGGAGAGCCCAAACTGGATACAGAGAAATGCCAGAAGCACAGAGGAGAAAGCAAGGCTGTGTGAGGGCCCACCCAGGCTGATGGCTGCCGCATCTACTAAGGCGGCAGAGACAAAGTGTTGTAGGGAGCTCAGCGTGACTGCTTTTGGAGAGCCGGGGTGACAGTAAAGCTGCTCCGGGGACTTCCATAGCAACGGGGAGGATGACAGTGTTGCCATAGACGAGTTGACAGGTGGTGACACTTTACTGTCAGAAGCAAGGTGGCTGCCATTATCTCAGCGAGTGGCCAGCTGGCTAACAGCTGGGGCCACCATCCAGAGAGGAGGGCTGGTGGGGAGGCAGTTTAGGCAGTGCCCAACTATAATAATTCATACTCTGAATGGCTAGCAAGGACACTGGGAGCACCCACGCCCTAAGTCATGATCACTCGGCTAATTTCTGGCCCCATGCCAGTTCTCAGGCCAAGCATCCAGGCTGAAGGAGAGGTGTGCTCTAAGGGCAGATGAGCCACCTCATGGTGACTATATGAGTAGTGAAACTTGGCCTCCCTAAAGGGACTGCAATTATTTCTACTTCCTTGGGTGTCCATGCACAGAGGCATCAGGAACATCCAGAGACCTTCAGGACTGGGCCCATCTGAGCTGACTCGAGTAGGGAAGGCAGGGTCCCCATGGTCTCTATTAGAGGAGAGCGTGTGGAGCCAGGGCTGCCGTCCCTGCACCCCTTGTACTCCATCCTGGCTGCTCTTGAGTATCCCACTTACCATTTCTGTAAGACAAGACCTCTGGATTTCCAAGATGAGATTAAACTTCCCACCCTCCCCTTTGGTTTTGCGAGGAGAAGCAGACAACGAAGGCAAGCCTGTACCTGAACCGCAGCTGCTCAGGCCCCGGGACAACAGGGACCAAGCCAGGCAGATGATGAAGCTGGAGTGGTTGGTCCCAGACAGGCTCCCTCAGAGCTGCAAGGGGCTTGAGTGTGAAGTGTGTTGGGGGTGTTTAGCCTACGCTGCAGGGCAGGTGGTTTTCCCCAGGCTCCGGGCAGAAGCTCTTTGTAGACAGCACCCACACAACCTGGATTTCAACCCAAAATAGCCTCTTTTCGTCATCCTGAACAGGGTGGCCAGCTCCTCCTGGGCAGCTTCCTGGCCAAGGTGCAGCTCTGCTTGGCCCGTGTGCAAGTGGAACCAGGCTCGTCCACCTGCAGAAACAGGCCACGTTGGATGCCTGGGGGCTTCTGTGGAAATCACTCTTGTGAGGTGGGAGTCAGGGCCATGGAGGGAGGAGTCTTGGAGAACAGAATGTGAGGGATTAACCTAGCCAAACCTGAAGTCCAGTGATATTCAATAGGCTTCAAGGGCTCTGGAACCAAGCCCACCCTTTCCTAAGCCACCATAGTTTAAGGTTCTCTCTCTCTCTTTTCTCTCTCTCTTTCTCTCTCTTCTCTCTCTCTCTCTCTCTGTTTTATTTATTCTTTAATTGCCAACAACAGGCTAGTCTTCTGCAGAGGCCCCCTGAACACTTCTCTTTCCCTCCAAGTTCATATTTAGCCTGTCACATGAAACAGGCCTCTCACCATATGGTTCTGTCAGACCTCTGCCAAAAGGATCACCTGCCACCGAATGGAGAACCCACTGCCCTGCCTTCCATGTGATGCTCGCTGCTTCCTGCATTGGAAAGTCCACCTGTTCCCGCAAGCCCACGCTCAGTGGGTTCAGGAGCAGTGTCACTGATGCAGCCTTGAGGCTACACCTTCTACTCCCCGAGTCTCTGCCAGGGCCATGTGCCATTTCACACTTCAGACTGGCCATATGGGGTGACAGTATCAGTTTTCCTTTGTACTTGAGGTCTCTGAAACCAAAGCCAAGAAGGTCAGAGCTGGGACGGAGAACTTGGGCCACCAAGAGCCTCCCTAATAGGCCAGGCCACCCAGGGAGTGCCCTCCTGTTCCTTTGTTTCTAGCCAACCTGGATTACATGTGGGCCTCCCAGTCGAGATTTTGCAACCCAGGGGGGTCACTGTATTGGTATTTGTGGCTCTGTGCCAGACACTAGCCTGGGGAAGCAGAGATGTGGTTTACTTTTCACAAGTGGCAAAGAGGAGGTCGGGCAGGGTGTCCAGAGGTTATTAGTTGTTTAGTTTAGCTTGTCTTTTGTCTCTTGGCTACTACAAATGCCAAATCTAGGTACATGGAATAGAGCATCTCAGGGTGGGTAGGTACGCATGTCCAGTCCTGTGGTGATGAAGTCTTCAGCCCTTCTTCTAGAGTCTTGCTTACTTTTCTCCTGTAGTCTTGCGGCTGGAGTGTAAACACTGATTTGATTCAGGCTCTGCCTTAGTCGGCTGGTCCACCATATGGTTTTAGGATCGTTTTCTACCCCCTCCCCGTAAACTATCAACATGACACTCAATCTTGACCAAGCGGTGAGTTTATTTTCTAAGGACTGTCTGATGCAAGATATATATAAAAAGAAAGGGGACTGTTTAGGTTCACGGTCTCTGAGGCTGGACAATTCAAGGTCACATGACCGTGGCTGGAGATAGCCTCCTGATGCTTTGTGAGTGGTAGGAGCTGAAAGATAGAGAAGGTTTGCATGGGCAAGACAAAGGGGCCTAACCTCTGCTGTAGCTAACACACTTCCGGGAGAGATCTGCTCAGTTACCCAGGGCATAGACAGGGAGCCTGGGGAGCCAAGAAATGGGCAGGGTTGTGGTAAAGGGTAAATGTGATATTTCTTCAACAGATGACCAAATCCGGAGTCAGGATCCGGGCTCCAGTGGTTGGGCAGCTGTCTGATATATTTGACTTGTGACTGAGTAATATTCTTTGCTCTTCCCTGACCACCATGGGCTCCTGTGCATGTGCAGCAAGGCTACATGGGGACAGTGGTGGCCAGAGGAGGAGTAGTAACCAGGCAGCTTGGAGGGGTGTGGTAGGAGCTTCTGATAGCAGCAGGCTGGCAGGGACTACTCCTTATCAACTCCTTTGAGATCCTCTCAGCCCTTCCCCCAACAAAGCTTCAGCCTTGACTTATAAAAACTTAGACTCTTAGCAGAAAAGAATTTATCTGCCTCTCCACCTTCGCATTCATTAAAAAAGTGCTAAAAAAAAAAGTCATGCTTGTTGGTACACACCTTTAATTCTAGCACTCAGCAGGCAGAGGTAGGAGGATATCTGTGAGTTTGAGGCCAGCCAGATCTATAGAGTGAGTTCCAGGATAGCCAGGATTACACAGAGAAACCCTGTCTTAAAAAAAAAAAAGTTGAAAAAAATTAGTATAACTATTAAAAGTTGAAGACTACATTCCTGGGATAACGGAGACTCTAAGTATTCAGCAGAGGACGCTTAACATTGCCAGAATTTACTGTGCCCCCCCTGTTAAAACTAGTCCTACTTAGGTCCTTTAGGAAAGACGGGGAAGGGTGAGTCCCTTGCTATAGCCTCCTGTGCACAGATGAAAGAGATATAGAATACCTGTTGTGTAGAGTGTAGCATCTGTCTTAGTTCCTTCTCCTGTCACTCTGATTGCATCGCCTGACAGAAGCCAGGTTTGTCCCAGCTCACAGTTCAAGCAAATAGTCTTAGACGGCCGGGAAACCAAGGTGGCAGGGACTTGAAGCAGTTGGTCACATGACATCCATGACCGAGAGCAGAAAACGACGAGGCCTGCATTCCTTCCTCCAATTGTGCAGTCCAGGATCTCAGCCAGGGAATGGGGCCGCTCACGGGGGGCCCATATCTCGGTTAATGCCGTCAAGATAACCTCTCACAGGTAGGCCAAGAGGCCTACCCTTAAGATAACTTCAGATTATGTCAGGATGACAACACTAACTGTCACATCTTTCTATTGTGCCGCAGGACACCAGAGCTTATTCCTCCTGTTTGATAGTATTTTGTTACTCACCTTCCCTTCCCAGTTTCTGATAGCCATGGCTCTGCTCTCTGTGTCTTTAAGATTGCTTTTTTAAATATTCTATATCTGAATGAGTGTTTGTAGCCGTTACCTCTCTCGGTATCTGGCTGATTTCATTTATCATAATGTCCTCCAGTTCTGTCCGTGTTAAAGAAACAGCAGGACCTCATTCCTTGCTATGGCTGGAGAGTAGTCCACTGTGTGCACACACTACATTCTCTTTGCAGGGCCGTGGAGACCCAGGCTGGCTACTGCGAATGTGTGAGGTGGCGCTTGTACTACTTGCTATGTTTTGTTCACTGTACATTGTATCATGGAAAGAAATAATATCACGCTGCGCCACACAAGTGTGCCCAACTGATGTGTGACATCAGAGGTGAGAAGGACAGAGTCCATCCCAGGATCTCATCATGGGGCAATCCACCTGAGTGCTCCTCAGTCTGTTTCCCTGGCTTGTGAAGCATCGTCTTCCTTAGTTCTTGCTCAATTCACTCCCCGCCCCCGCTGTGCTTATTACGGTAGCGTCAAGAGGCAAGAGACCAATACTGGCCAACATCTTCCTCCTTGTTACCGGGCACCGTCTCAGTGAAGGTTGATCTCTATCTGTGCCCTTCTTCCATTTAGACTCTCCTGGTGAAGGCCACAGGTGTCCAGGTGTGCCTGCTTGCATCCAGGTGAGCCTTACTCAGGCCTCTACATACTGTGAAGGACTCCCGGGGAGACATCTTTACCCTGATACGCTAATCATCTGTCCTCCCACCCCCAGCCTTTACTTGCTATGAGAAAGCTTGTTCAGCAGTTGCTAAGCCCTCAGGAGCTCCTCGCCCTCAGGGCCCATCTGCCGCAGGGCAAGCATCTGTTGAGCTTCTTCCTGGCAGGGTATCACCTGCCTAGGCCTGTAATGGGGCTGGCAGCCAGGTCCTCAGAGCCTCCAGCTTTCCAGCAGGGAGCAAGGAGGACGGGAGGAGAGGAGCGATCAAGAGTCCTTCACTTCAGGCCTGGGCCAGGAATCTCGGGGCCACCACTCTCGAGGGCGTGTCAGAGACTGAAAAGGTTCCATGTCTGTGGCATAAGTGACAGAACATGCAGAGTGAGAGCTTGTGAAAGGAGGCCTGGACAGAACTCTGGGGAGACAGGTGTGTGTGTGTGTGTGTGTGTGTGCGCACACGCGCGCGCACACACACATACACACACACGCATGTGTCCATGGGTCTGTTTATCTGTGTGGTTGTGCTTGTGTATGTATATCCGTTTGTACCTGTGTGCCTGGGCCTTTGGCTAGTAACTTAATGTTTGGGGTGTCCCCAGGTAAGACCTGTGCACCCAGGATAAAGGACGACACACCCCATGCCAGTCTAGAACCATCCCCTCTGTCTGTCTTGACCCCCAAACACCTGGCTTAAAACATACCCTTCTATAGCAAAGTCGAGAGCTCTTTCTAGACCCCTGGAGCCTAGAGTGCCACTTTCACGGTAACAGCCCCACCGACCTGCCCTGGCACGTCTGCTGTGGCACTGGGAGCCTGGGCCCTCACGTAGGGAGCCCCTCAGAGACGCACAGTGAAGGGGAGCAGCGTTCATCTGTGCCCAGCTCCGGGTGAGGTAGGGCCCCAGAAAGTGCGCAGCTCAGCCCGGCTAAGTTTTGCTCAGGGACCGGGACAGAATGTCAAACAGCCCAGATCCCATAGCCCTAAAGTAAATGCCACAGTTCATGACAGAGGCGGGTCTTCAGGGACCTTGAAACAGATGCCCCTGCAGTAAAGTTTTTCTTGTGCGTAGCACAAACCTGCCTGGCTCCCCTTCCTGACAACAGCAGGGAGGAGGAGCCCCAGGGCCCAGCTGCATGCAGTGGCCTTGCGTGTTTTTCTCTTGCGGTTTCACAGGGTTATGCAAGGTTTCATTTCTCGGCACAGCAACTGAAGAAGGCACCTCTTGGGGTCGGTGTGCTGTCATCTGTGGAGGGACCAGGAGACCCAGGCCGGGTACTACTGTTCCTTACTAGCCCACGCACTCCATGGGCTATGACTGAGCCCATGAACCCACACAGCTGTGAGGAGCTCCCCTTGTTTCCCAGGAACATCTGGAGAAGGAGCCGCCTGGCCAAGGAGTGTTCTAAGAAGATTAGGATGCCACTGAGAGTTAATGTTGGCCCTACAGAGCCAACGACAACTTTATCGTCTGCTGCACACACAAGTATTTCAAGTGGGGAGGTCCCCGGGCCAACGCCTGCTCTCCAGTGACATGGTTGAAGTGTCACAATGCCCCAGCTTCCTGGAAGTCAGCCTGTCCTAGTTTCACTTCCTGGATCTCTTACTTCTACCCCAATGCCAGAGTTGACTCTCTGTCTCTATCCCCAGGGTCTCCCAAGAAGTCCCTGGCAAGTGCCAGGTGATCACCTGGTGATTCTAGGAAGTCGTTCTAGGTTGGGAGCAAACAAAGAACGAGGCAGGACTCTGCCTGATTCTACAAGGCCACGGTGACACTGTTGAAGGGTACCAGAGCCTTCCCACACTCAGAAGAGAGCATGCTCCTCCCTTGAGGCATGGGCATTCCCATGTACTCCCTGGTGCTGCCATCCCAACGGGTTGCCTCCAGAGTATCTCCAGGTCCCAGACTCTCCTGTTTCCCGTCAGTCCCTGCTCTGTCTAGCTGCAGTCATATGTCCACATTCTGCTGACAGACATGATGGCCCACCGTCCTCTCAGCTTCTTCAACTTTCCGCAGAACTCTTGGGGAGGACTGTGACCCTCACCGTGGACAGCTAGAGAACACACTGCTTTCCTGGTATAAGTAAAAGTTCTCCCTCGACGGTGGGACAGGCTTTTGCAGCTACTGCACCACAAGGAAGGCGCGGAGCTGGGCTAAGACAGTTTAAGTGGAGTCATTGTGAGCACAGGCGCCTGATTCCTCAGAGATGGCCTCTGTTTTCTCACAGCCATGACTCCATGGGCCCTGGAAGCCCTTGTAGAGCAGATAGAGAGTGGGGTTAGCTTCCCCTGGCCCTCCCACTTCCTTGTGCCCAGCAGCCTTGAGAACGAGACTACCCTTCCCAAGTGTGGCTCAGCTCACCAAGTTGTTTCCTCCTTTGCTTCCACGTCAGCCCTCCGAATCTGCTTTGCCATTGTGCCTGGCTCAGAGCCTGCAAAGGGCAGGGGAGAAGGCAGGAGACTTAGACTCTAACAAAGTTCCCATCAGGAGAATGAGGCTGAAATCTGCATGGCCGGTTATCTGTAGCAGGGTGACTGTCCACACTTAGCAATGTGCGTCCTCTATCCTATTCGACACTCCGCATACTCCGTTCCTGCATATTATACTCAATACATGCAGAAACATCTCTCCCTGTGATCCCCTCCCCAATGCCCAGTACAGGACAGAGAGAGATGTCTGTTGGCAGCCTGAGGATCCATTGGATGGACTCTCTAGAGACATTCCCTCTATTCTTGTGTGTGGAAGTGTGTTATCTCTGTGTGTGCACAAATGTATGTGCATGTGCCCATGAAACCCACACTCCCAGCACTGGATCTCCCAGCCCCTCTTTTGCACCTTTCTCGGTGCCAAAATAACCTTTTCTAGGTGTTCCGGTCAGAGTTTGTCCTCTAGATCCAAGGCTAAACAAGTTATGCCCGTGTCTCTCTGTAAGATGCCCACAGAAGGAAACACAAGAAGGAGGCAAGGGAGGGCCATTGGAAAGCTTCAGTACTGATCAGATGGGTGACAACGCCAGGGCTGGTCCACCCCCTGCCTCTGAATTGACTTCAGTTTCCTGGCTAATGCAGGTCCCTACGTAAGACTGGGAGCTAAGCGTGGGAACAAGCAGAGAGATGAGCTACCACAGTGGGTTTCACTTCAGCCAGCATTTGCGGAACCCTAGCATTGGGTTATGCCGAGTGCTCAGCACTGGGAAGATGCCAAGAGTAGGCGGGGCACGCCTCTCCACATCTGATCTGCAAAGATGACATACGGATAGACTGTTCACAGGTGCACAGAGGACCGACCCCAGAGACCAGGCTCCTGCATGGCTAGCTGGGGGAGGAGGCAAGGTGGGGCTCCTTTGTGGCCAGTAAGGGAACAATGGCCATGATAGGTTGTGCTAGCCAGTTGGGTGGGCAGAACTTGGGGTGGGGGAAGGGAAGGTAACTGTGGTCAGAACAGAGGAGGAGTGAGCCTTGTCAGGTGCCCAGCTGAGGCTTGATAAGTGTGATAAGCAAGGGGTTCTGGAAGACAGTGCGGGGAGATAGCATTATGAAGATGAGATTGCCGGGGACTCCTGCAGGTGAGATAGGGTCATTCTGCAGAGTTCTACAATTGACAGGGAATGCTGGAGTTCCAGTCAGGAGACCCAGGACATAATTAAAACCTGGAAAGGAACAGTCACCTTTCTAGGTGGAAAGCCGGCCTCACAGAGCTCCATCTGTTTCAGATTACCTATAGCAAGAGAGGTTCTGCTGAAACCACCAGGCCAGATTTAGGTCTTCTGCAAGTAATGGGTTCTAGCTGGCTATTTAGGCAAAGAGGAACCTGGGACAAAGAAGCTCTGTTGGACTTCCAAAGAGCCTAGGGCAGGGTGTGGTGGCTTCTGGGAATGGTATCCTGGGTGTTCCCAAAATCCAGGGTCCAGTGTCATTCTTGTAAAGTCTCTGCCAACCCCTACAGCCCCCGTGCAGAGGTCTGCACAGACCCTTCCTAGACAGTGACTGCCCCAAGTCTCAAGATTACACCTCTATACAATGGGTTAGGATCTTGGGGGTCAGATCGACGTTCCCCATAGGGGATCTAGTTGGCCAGTCTAACAGGAACCATCTGGTCACATCTCAGCGTGGAGACACAAAGCAGCAGTAGCAGGAAACAGTTCCACACAGCTCCGAGTGCATTAGTGAGAGGAAGTAGGGAGGGTACATGCATGTGAGCATGCAGGTGTGTGCCACCATGTGGGTGAATGTGGGGGCCAGAGCAGAGTTCTGCTTGTCTTTCTCTATCGCTTTTTGCCTTTTTGCCTTATTGCCTTATTGAGGGAGACAGGATCCCTCAATGAACAAGAAGGTCTTCTTTGCAGCTAGGCATGCCGCCAAGGGAGTTCTTGGGCTCCCCCTGCCCCTACACTCCCAGTGTTAGGCTTACCAACCCTCATAGTTCTGCCTAGCTTTCAGTGTGGGTGCTATGGCTTCAAACTCATGTCCTCCTGTTTGTACAGTAAATGCTCTTACCCACTGAACCGTCTCCAAACCCCAGCCTGAGTTCTCTTCAGAGATCTCTACTTAGGTGACACTAGGGTTCTTGACAATGTCCCAGAAGAGAGTTTGAAGCAGATGAATGGGAAGCAGAGGTTTAGTTTCCTACGAACAGGTTCTAAACACAGGTTTAAGCATGAACATTAGGGAGAATGTTTTGAATAATAAGAATTCTTTCCACGTTTGGTAGAGATATGTTGAGGGAGCTTTAGCTCCTTAAATAATGCAGTGGGGAGAGTTGGGACAGGAGATCCTATAGCAATGGGAAGAAAAATGTGATTTTTTAAGCTTATAGACTTTAGAGGGGAGGGTCTCTGAGTTTAAGGGTGTGTGTGTGGGTCTCTGAAGTTAGCAGATTAGTAGGAGAATATGCAGCCGTCATTACGAAATTAATTCTATAATCCGGCCCTACCTAGGGGTTGTTCTGTGTTAGGAGTTCAGCAGTTTAGGGAAGGTACTAGATAGGATGTCCACAGTCAGTCAGGTGTGACTTATCTCCTCTGCGGAGGCACCCTCCGAGATCTCCCGGACAAAGCAGGCTTTTGGAAAGCATAGCACACACCCAAGTGTGGGCTGCTAAAGAGTCACATTTTGGTGGCTTTTGAAGTCACATTATTGAAAGGGTTTCTAGTGACTCCCCCTCCCCCTTTCCTCTGTTTTCTTCAGTGAGCTCACAGGGCAGCTTCTGAGTCTGGATAGGATTCCAGACTGCTCAGGGAAAACCACGGGTCATGAGGTTTGCACAAGGAAGCTAAGACACTTTTACTGTAACGAATCTTTCAGTCATGTTCATAGATTTCCAGAAATTGTAGGTTAATATCTGAGAAAGGAGAAGGTCATACTCAAAGGGCATCTACGCTTAGTTCTTAAGCGTGGTCTGTTGCTATCTTAACATTTTTATTTGAAATACCTCTATACAAAAGAAATATTATTTCTAAGGAGACAATCATATGCCAAAACATGTTATTAGCTGTATAGAAGTTTCCAACTTTTAGCAGGAAGAAGACATAAAGGAGACCCTGGAGCGAGGCCTCCTTTCCTTTCCCATGCACCCTTAACTTCCCCGGCCTCAGAAATGAATTCCTAAATCTGGATCTGACCCCAGCAAAGTACAGGTGTAATTGAACATATGAGTCTCACATACAAACACACTCACATATAACACATGTACATAGACAGCATAATATGTACATATACATACCTACAAACACACATGACATGCACACACAGACACGTACACTCCTAACTTACTTAGTGAAAATGGTACCCATGTGTGTCTTTCCAAAATCATCTATGTTTGCGTGTGCTTCTGCCTACAGTACAGCTGTCAATGCATGGCACAGTGAGTTTCTTAATTCTTGTTCGGTGCCCAAGAGTCTTGTCAGCAATGTGACCTCTTTACAGTGTTCAGTTTATATAGTCAACACCGTCCAGGTAACTGTGCACCTCGGTCCCCTTCCTTCTCCTAAGGACTGCCCAGGTCGGTGTGTGTGCCTGGCAAGTCACACAGACAACAAAGAGACCACTTTCGACTCAGCAGCTCCCTCTTCAGCCTGAAGACCTTCTTCCCAAACCAAATCTTGCTGGTGTCCCTGTGTAGTATTTCCGCCAAGGAAGTCAAGCAGGCTGTTATGGCCTAAACTATGCCCTGCCTCATCCTCACCATTCACACTCTAAAGCTCCAACTCCAAGGACCTCACAATGTGGTTGTGCTTAGAAATAAGAACTTTAAAGGGATAAGTTAAGATGAGGCCACAAGAGCGGGCCCCGATTCAATGTGACTGGTGGTCTTAAGAGGATAGGGCACAGGACCCTAAGGACACGGCAGAGGGAAGAACATGTGCCCACGTGCAGAAGAGACAGCCTCCTTAGAAGCCAACGACACCGAGACCTCGGATTCGCGCACTCCCAGCCTCGAGAAGTGGGAAGTCCAGTTCTCTTCTTTAAGCCACCTGGAATGACAGACCTCATAAACTAACAATAGCAGTAATGACGATCACAATTGTGTCAGAGGGAAAGGAAGTCACTACTTGTTAAGCGAAGCTGAGCAGCCACACCTGTAGATAGATGGGCAGAGCTGGCGCCAGCTCTGAAGCTGACAGGTGTATGTTATCTCTTCTGCCGCCAGACCCGGCTCCGGCACACCAGCCGTCCTGATCTCGTTCCCATTGCAGTGCTGGGATACCCTGTCGGAAGCACTGTCGAGGAAGATGTGAGTTTTGCTACAGTTACGGGGGCAGGACATGGAAGCGGCTAGTCACATCCAGTTGAGAGCAGAGAGAACGAACGCAGGCTGGATTGATGAGCTCCAGGTTCAGCGGGAGACCTTGTCTCCAAAACTAGGGGCAGACAGAGGGTGGAAGACAGTTGTCACTGATATCTGGCATCCACATGCACTATACACACCCTCGTGATCATACACACACAGAGATTGCACATGTACTAAACACGTATGATCTTTTTTTTCTTATTGCTGCTTGCTGCTCCCTAAACAAGTCCTTGTCCCATTATTAACATGGTGTCTGCATTGTATCAGGAACCATAAGTCACCTAGAGATTATCTTCAGTATATAGGAGGGTGTGCAAATGCTGTATGCAAATACCAGCCAGGGCCCTAAACATCTGGACGTTTTGGTTTTCTCAGTGGCCCTGGCCCCAACCCCCCAAACGTGTATCTGTGCATGAATCACAAAGGCATAACCAGGCACACGCTAATGTCACAGCACCCACTGTAGAACACAGCCACTTCAGAATTTCCTCTGCACCCTTCTAAGCCCACCTCCCCCATCCTTCCTACTGAACTTTGGTGAACGTTGGATGAATGTTCTCAAAGGCAGTGTGGCTGATTTCACTCAACATGTGTGCATGCTCACTGCTTCTAAGGTTCCGCTTGGGGAGATTCAAAGTGTTTGTCTGCTCTGTTATTTGTGGGTATTTGGGTAGTTCCTAAAGTAATGCCGTGGTCGTCCTAGGATGTCTTTCAGTGAATGTATACTGTGTAAATCCTGTGAGTGGAATGGTATACATCTTTTCATCCATTTTGGATGGACACCTAGGAGCAAAACTCTCCAAGTCCCTAAACTTTTAGATAATTTAAGATTGCGTCCCAAAGTTCTATACCATTTTACACTCCTGCCAGCAATGTATAGATTCCCAGTGTCTCCGCATCCTTGCCAGCACATGCTTTTGCCTGACTCTTTTCATTAAGCATCGTGGGTAAGGAGATCTCGTTATGATGCACTGTCATTTTAAGTCTTCCTTAAGGTCACAAGGTTGAGTGTACTCTCAAAGTATTTGCTAGCCACTCAGAGATGTTCTTTTATGAAGTTTCCACTTAATCCTTTAATGTTTTCTTTCCTTGTTGAAGTAAGTATTTGCCTTTTTTTTCCTTCTTATGGTCCTGGGCCCAAACCCAAGACTTCATGCATGCCAAGTGAGTGCTTTGCCACTGAACTGTGTTCCCTTCCTGCTGATCCCCCAAACTTCTTTATATATTGTAGTTGTCAGCCCTTTATTGGACATGTGTGTTGTAAATATTATCCTCCAGGTGTGCATATGTGCATTCCTTCCTGCCTTTCTCTCTTTCTCTTTCTTTCTTGGTGAACATGGTGTGCTGGCTCATGTATGCCATATGGAGGCCAGAGGTCACTGTCAGGTGTCTTTCTCCATAGCTTTTCCCTTTGTCTTTGGAGATAGAGTCTCTTGCTTAACCTGCAATTCACTTTTTCAGACGGACTGACTTGCCAGCAAGCCCATGGGTTTCATCTTTTTCCAGATCTGGCCATTTAAACTGGAACTAAACACACCACCACCGCCCCTGGCTTTCTATGTGGGCACCAGGGAACCAGACTCAGACAGATCCTCATATAAGCACAGCAGGTACTGTATGTACCACTGTGCCTTCTCCCAGCCTCAACTTTTACTCTATTAATCTTTTAATCTATAAATCTTTTAAACATAAATTTTAATCTATCAATCTTTTAAACATAAATTTTAATCTACTAATATCTTTTAAATACAAATTTCTAATTTTACAATAGTCACCTTCTGTATCTTTTCCTTTCTTTCCTCTTTCCCTTCTCTTTTTCCTTTTTCTCCTCTTCCTGGTGGCTGTTGTTGCTTTGCTCTTTATCTTTCCTTACATGGTTTCTTAGAGGGAAGTCAGAAGTTGCCGGCACACAGTCTTCGCAGACGCTAACTTTACCATACCATTTAAACACAGTGGTAACTTCCTGTCCCAGAGACTTGCCCTTCCTGGTGCCTCTGCCTGAGCATCTGGAGGTGACAGTCAAATGACGCTCCGGCGCCCTGTTTCCCATGGTCAGTGAGTTCATCTCTGCTTGTATGTTCAAAGAGGAGAACAGCCCAGCCGCAGAGGTCCAACCTTGTGGTCTGTTCCCTGAGTCAGTCTGAGACTGCGTAGGGAAAACAGAGAGCACCTGACCACTTCCCATGGGGATTAGCTGCAAAGGGAGGGGGGAGGCTGCATGATGAAAGAGTTGCAGGCAGGAGAGGACTGGAGAAGCCCCGGAAGCCTGAAGGGGCCCGGCTAGGCGCCAGAGGCGCCTAGTGCAGCTAATTGGTGTTACTGCCACGGTCTATCCTAGGCTCCCAGTTTAGCTTAGCGACAACAGGGATTTAACCTTCATATTGTTGGAGGCTGCAGAGTGCAAGTTATGATTCTACTGCAGACTTCCTGCTTTGTAGAGGGTGCTTGTCTCGGAGTCTTCTTGTGGTGGAAGGGCTGAGGAGTCTCTCTCTTTTTTATTGTTTTCGATGTTGGATGTGTGAGTCTGTGTGTGCATGCGCACAGCATGTGGCAGGACATGCATGTGGCAGGACATGCATGTGGAGATCAGAGGAAAACCTCAGATGTGGATCCTCACCTTGTTTGAGAAAGTCTCTTCCTCTCTCTACAAAGAATTTCTTTTTCCTTCTCCTCCTTCTCCTCTTCTTCTTCTCCCTTCTTCTCTTTCTCCTTTTTGTTTTTTGTTTTTTTTTTTTTTTTCCTATGTAGCTCTGGCTGTCCTGGAACTCACTCTGTAGACCAGGCTGGCCTTGAACTCAGATATCCATTTGACTCTGCCTCCTGAGTGCTGGGATTAGAGTTCTGAATTTAAAGGTATGTGCCACTACTGCCTGACCAAGAATATGTTTTATTCTTTCAAAATTCCGTTCATGGAAACAATGTATCCTCCTCATACCCTCCCTCATTTCTTGCATTTCCTCCCTCACCTGCTATGTACCCCAACAAGCCCTTCTCACTCTCTCACCTTCACACACACACACACACACACACACACACACACACACACACACACACACACAGAGTTGATTGACCTTCTTGTACAGGTAGTCATCACTGCAGAGAATTCATGAGTATAACTGCCACACTGTGTTCAGAGGACAGCATTTCACAACATTCTTCCCCATTCCTTGGCTTTTACATCTTTCTGCCCCCTCTTCCACAGAGTTATCTGAGCCTTGGTGGAGCGGGGAGAGTTGATAAAGCTGTCTCACTTGAGGGTAAGCATTAAGTAGTCACTTACCTACAACACTTTGATGAGTTGAGTCTCTGCATTAACTCATTACCACGGTAAAGTTATTTTTGAAGGTTGAGGGAAGGCAGAACAGATCTAGAAATATAAACATAATACATAGCAGGCAATTTGATAACTTCCATTTAGAAAGGCAACAGTATGGTAGGTTCCCCTCTAGGGCCTATGACCTCAAAGCAATGGGCTTTTGGCTAGATTTACAGTATCAGCCAAGAATTTCTTCCTGTAGAGCTGGCTTCGAATCTAACCAGAGAGTTGCTGATTGCCCCCATAAACTTCATGCTAATGTTATACCCATGGGTACGTCTTGCTTGGTAGGTTGGTACTTTAACTTGCAATGTTTACCAATGAATTTCCTCCTCAGCACCGTGACAGTTAGTCAGAAAGGAGGACATTTTCAGTTTGATTTTTGAGACGTGTTCTTGCTTAGTAATTGCTACACACACCAGGCTGGCTGGCCGGCAAGCATCCAGGCATTCTCTTGTTTCTACTTCCTATTGCCCCCGGGAGTTCTGGGATTAAATACGTTCTCACTACAAGTCTAGTTTTCATATGGTTACCAGGGATTCACATTCAAGTCCTCAAGAGTAAGGAGTTTTTCTCTGTCCCGCCAGCCAGCTCCCAAATAATGACACAAAGATATATTATGAATTATGAAACTTGGCCTTTAGCTTAGACTTGTTTCTAACTGTCTCTTATAATTTAAATTTACCCTGATTTTTATTAATCTATGCTCTACCATGTGACTTTTTACCTCTCTTCCATTCTGTGTGTCCAACTCAGTCCCCATTTCTCTGCTGCCTAGATTCATCTCCGCCTTCCTCTCTCCTTGCCTGGAGGTCCCGTCTAGACTCCCTGCCTATCTATTGGCCATTTAGCTCTTTATTAAACCAATCACGCAATATATCTTCACAGAGTGTCCAAATACCCCGCAGCTCTCAGGCTTGCCTAGCAAGCCCTTGTACTCACAGAACCAACTCTCCCAGCTCCCTGGGGCCTCTTTCACAAGGGTACTATTCTAATTATGGGGCCCTGCTCTCAGAGGCCTGCCTCATCTGCTAATATCACTGTGGGGGTGAGGATTCCTCTTAGGAATTTTGTGTAAAGAACACTCAGACTTCTGTGCCTCCGAGCCAGAGTCCTGAGTTTGCCCCTCCAGTGTCTCTCATAATGTGGGATTCCCCTTTGTAGGCTGTGAATACTATTAATTAATAAAAAAGCTGTCTTGGGTCTGCACAGGGAATAGAGGTAGGCGGGGAAAACTAAACTGAATGCTGGGAGAAAGAAGGAGGAGTTAGAGAGAAGCCATGTAGCCCCACCCGAGACAGACATTGAAACTTTAGCTGATAAGCCATGGCCTTGTAGCGACACAGAGATTAATAGAAATGGGTAAAACTAACATGTAAGAATTATCCAATAAGAAGCTAGAGCTAATGGGCCAAGCAGTGATTTAAATAATACAGTTTTTGTGTGATTATTTCGGGACAAGCAGGCCCCCTACAACATTGTCAGAGGTAACTTCATTTGGGGGAGATGTCGTGCAGTGGCTTTGGATCTAGGAAGAGCTACTTTCTCAATCAGGGCAGCAGCTGTGGATATAGATGCCCCCCCCCCAACTGCCCACTCCTCATTCTGAGAAACTAAACAGCTCTCAGCCCTCTGACTACTAGTCTGTCACAATCCACACTCCCGCTCTGTTCTGCTTCCTGAACTACTGAACCCAGAAGACCTGGCATCATGTGAAGAGCCAGTGGGAGAGGAGACTGAGAACTACATAACCCACAGAATCCAATACTCTCAGCGGGGCACAGAGCAGGCAGGGACTTCATGCCCAGCCTTCTAGCCTTGCTCAGCATATTTTTCTTTTCCTTTCTTTCATTCTTTTTTTTTTTTTTTCCTTTTGAGACAGGGTCTCTCTATGTAGCCCTGGTTGCCCTGGGAACTCATTTTGTAGTTTAGGCTGGCCTCGATTTCACAGAGACGCACCTGACTCTGCCTCCTGAGTGCTGAGGTTAAAGTGTGCGCCACCACACCTGACCTGCTCAGCTATTTGAGCCTGGCCCCCAGGATCTGCGACCTATAGAACCCCTCTGAGCTGGCTGTGGCTCACACCACTTCCTTGGCAAGCTTTGCAGGCGCACAGGATCTTCAGTGTGTGACTACAGCTCCCCACCCCCAAAGGGCAGGCAATGTAACTGATTTAGGATGAGCTTTTCGGCTCCATGGAGGGCAAATCAGTGAGTAGATAAGAAAGAAAGGCTGAATAATGACAGGCTTGCCTGTGGGGAAACCCAAGTGGCTGATGGAGGAGGGGATGGCTTTCTCTGGAGGCTTTTGCATGCCCTCCAGGCATCTTTGGCATTCTTTTAAAAAATGTGTATGGGTGTCTTACCTGCATGTATGTCTGTGTATTGCTGTGTGCCCGACGCCTGTGGAGGGTGTCAGATCCCCTGGAACTGGAGCTACAGATGGTTTTGAGCTGACTGAGGGTGCCTAGGTCCTCTGAAAGAGCAGCTAGTGTTCTTAACTGCTGAGTCATTTCTACAACCCACATGTGTCTGTTCCCTAAACATTTCTCTCTCCTGACCGCAGCATCCCGTGCCCCATCCTGCTGCACCAATTGGTTACCATGGATGTGTGAGGCAACTGTGCAGTCGGTGGCACAGACCCCGGGCTGGTGGCACAGAACACAGGACTGCAGTTTACAACCAGGGCTCTTTATAGAGGATTCATAACAAAAAAAGGGGCTATGTGGTTGCACAAATTTGGAAAATCCATGTTTGAGCAGATCAAACAGTGTTCTTCACAGTGGAGTTGCTCAGGTCCTTAAGATGTTAGCATGACTCTCCTGGAAGCAGAGGCACACTAGCTGCAAGTCCCACACTGAATCACCACAAAACCTTTCCTTTTGGAATAGTTTATCAGAGTTTGGAAGTTGGTCGGTGATGACTTCAGACATATTTAACTGATTTATCCTTGTGTATGTAATGTATGCATGAGATTCAATAGATTTCTGGTACCAGATTTCATAGGTTCCTGGGCCCAGGCAGTGACTGGAGAGCCCAGTAGGCTTGCCACAGCCAGTGGAGAACCTTGCTGTGGCCTCTGGGGTGGCAAGCATCTTTAGGGGGCAGGGTAGGAGGTATGGGCCCATGGGTAAACCGCCTGCTGCACAAACATGAGTTCAGATCCCCAGGACCCACGTAAAAAGACATATATGGTCACAGTATCTGCAATGTATCTGTAATGCAGAGAGGTAGAGATCTCAGACCTTCATATATGTGTACAGATGTGCATACACATGAACATGTAAACATGCACACAGCACACACACACCCATAGACAGAGAGAGAGAGAGAGAGAGAGAGAGAGAGAGAGAGAGAGAGAGAGAGAGAGAGGCAGGCTAGTTTGAGGCCGCGAAGAGTCAGTGCTGTTTGTTTGTAGGAAGGCGGTGTGAGTTTGCAGCAAATCCTCCAGGAGAGGAGGCAGCCCAGAAGCCCCAGTTCCTTCTCACTTCTCGGTGGAACAGACTTTCCCCTGGAGTGGGTGGAGTGATGCCAAGCAGGTAATGAGGAAGGGGAGAGGAATGGGTTTATTAGCGATCTGCTCTTGCCTAGCAACTTAAAACAACAATGCTCGTCCTCTCCCCTGGTTCCTGAGGGTCTGGAATCTTGGCAGGGCTGAGCTGGTGGGCTGGCTCAGCATCTCTCCCACAGATGGAGTCAGCTCTCAGTGCGGCCTCAGCATCTGAAGGTAGACACTCACCTGAGGGGCAGCCTCCAAGTTTACCCTGGTGGTCCGGGCTATCCTCGGGTCTTGCCACATGCACACCTGCACGGGGCTGCAGAGTGCCTTCATCCCACGGCAGCCGGTGGCCTCCTCAGTGAGCGATCCAAAGAGAAGCAAGCGAGGAATGTATCATCCCCGACTGACCTAGTTTTAAAAACTCACACAGGCAGTTTTCCTGCACTCTTTCGTTCTTAAGCTGTTTTATGTTATGGTGTTTATGGAAACAGTCAGCCCTTCGTACCTTCGTACCCATCTGTGACGGCTTACCTTCACTGTCAGCTGGACTGGATACGCTCCTGCATATACGTTCCAAGAACTGTAACTGGGGAGGGAGACCCATCCGGAATGTGGGCAGTTCCCTCTCACAAGCTGGGGGCCCAGTCTGACTCAAGCACGTAGATTCATCTATCTCTGCTTCCTGACTGTGGGCACAATGTGACTAGCCACCTCACGTTCCTGGCCACATTTCCACTGTGAGGTACTGTACCCCTAAAGTGTGAGCCAGAAGAAGCCCCTTCTTTCGTAATTTACTTTTGGCAGGCCTTTTGACTCACAGCCACAAGAAGAGTAACTAACATACTATCAATGAACCCAACCAACTGTGGATAGAAAACGTTCAGAAAAAAGGCTGTGTCTATTCTAAACACATATTGACCGTTTCCTGTTGGTGGGGCAATGCAGAACATTGAGTATTCATGTCGCATTTACCTTGTGTTAGAAATTGCATACAGCCCCATGATTCAAAGTCTACAGGTGGGCTGTGTGGATTCTGGGGAAGTACTATCCCATTTTATACAGAGCCCTTAAACATCTGCAGATTTGAATATATGAAGAGGATGCTAGCACCAACGGCTGAGGGACTCTGAGAGGTAACCATATGGCGTAGTAAAATTTACGTGATGTCACCACACCCAACTTCACAGTGATTTCATTTTCTTCAAATGATTTAATTTCAACGAGGGACTCACATACACACATTCTCACAGCCTGCTGTTTCTTATGCATAAATAGTCAAGGCCATAATGATCCATTTTGTTTAATGAACTCAAAATACAATTAAATAAATAGTACTGGACTTATTTATAAAAGTTAGCTTTCCAGATTTGTTTGAAAAGTTTTTAGAGTAATTTAATTAACATATTTGATTATACAGCTTAGTTGCTTGGGATATTTGGTATAGCATTCACAGACAAAGGACCAAAGGAATTTCCCCAAACAAGAGTGTCTTATTAAATGCTTTATCATTATTTCAAGAAGTGGGAAAATCTAAACATGAAAATTCTGTCCTAATTTCCTGGTTTCATAGTACCTGTGAAGTCCTGAAAACTTCCAAGTCTCCTGAAGAGGCAGAGTGCCATGTTGACATAGAGCATCTGGAATCTTCTCAACCAGACGGCGGTTCTATGGATTGGATAGGTTTGTCCGACGAAATGTTGGAAGCTTGACCCCCAATATTATGGTGCCGAGGTTGTGGGACGTTTAAGAGGTGGGGCTTAATGGGAAGAGTTGCTTCATCAGCGGCGTGGCTCCACAGGGATTGATTCCAGTCTCAGGGAGCCAGAACGAATTGTATAAAAGCATCTCTCAGTGTGACATCTTCCTCAGATACGGCTCTTTCTGTTGCTCTGCTCTGCTGTGACTTAGTCAAGGAACCTCACCAGAGCTGGACAGAAGGATCTGTCTGATCTTGGCTGCTCACCTTCCTAACCAGTGAGTAAAATAAAACAATCTTCTTTCTTTTTTGAAAAGATTGTGTGTGTGTGTGTGTGTGTGTGTGTGTGTATGTGTGAGAGAGACAGAGATGTGTGTGGGTGCTCTTGGATGTCAGGAGAGGGTGTCCAAGTCCTGGAATTTAGTTACAGTTGGTTATAAACAGCGCTCTGTGAGTGCTGGGAACGGAACTCAGGTCCTCTAGAACTGCAGCAAGCACTCTAAATGGCTGAAATTGCTTTCCAGCCCCAAACTGTCTTCTCTATAACACACCCAGCCTCAGGCATTTTGTTATAGAAACAGACACTAACAGGCACAGGCGGTGATAGTGGAGGGCTCCCAGGAGCGTCTTGTTTGTGGGTCCCAGCTTCCATCTCACCGTGCTGGCAGGTTGCTGACCATCTCTTGACAGAACCTACACTTTGTCCGTATTTCCTGGTCACCTCTGATGTATGAAGTCCACAAATATCTCTGGAGAAACACCTCTGAAGTTCTCGTCCCTCCCTCCATGCCTCACTAAAGAAGCTGTGGAGCGCCCAGGCAGAGGGCACGGTATTGGGGGTAAAAGTAGACACTGTGAGTTGGGTGATGGCGCACGCCTATAATCCCAGCACTCGGAAGTCAGAGGCAGGCGGATCTCTGTGAGCTTGAGGCCAGCCTGGTCTACAAAGTGAGTTCCGAGATAGCCAGGGCTACAGAGAAACCTGTCCTCAAGAAAATATAAGTAAATAAATAAATAAAATAAAATAAAAATAAGAAAGAAGGGAGCTGGAGAGATGGCTCAGAGGTTAAGAGCATTGTCTGTTCTTCCAAAGGTCCTGAATTCAATTCCCAGCAACCACATGGTGGCTCACAACCATCTGTAATGGGGTCTGGTGCCCTACAGGCATATACACAGTCAGAATATTGTATACATAAGAAATAAATAAATATTTTTTAAAAAGAGAAAAAATAAAAAAAGACAAGGAAGAAGAAGGAAGGAGAAGGAAAAGAAGGAGACAGAGGAAGAAAAGAACAAAGACAATGACAATGACACTGTGACCTGGTTTCCATCCTCCAGGCATGCACAGACCCCATATGAGCATATGAGCATCTGAGCATCTCCTGGGGGAATCCCAGACATCAGTAATGACTTTGCACACTGCCAAGACCCTCCATTCCCATTGCTGGAAATGAGTCCCTCCACGTAGCTCTCACTCAGAGAACAGATTGACCACAAGACTTACCAAAAGCTTGTGAACATATTTAAAAACTGCCACAGGGGGACAGTGGTCTCACTTGGGTTCAGATAACAGCAGTTGGGTCCTGTGAGTTACCACCTCTTCAGCTTAGTCTCTCTAACATGGTGTGGCGATGACCTTCTGTGCCGTTATATGCCATCCGAGGACAGGGACACTGGAATGGAATCTAGCTGGACCACTTCCTGTCTCCAGGACTCAGTTTCCCTGCCTATGCCATTTCCTATCTCCTAGGGACATGGCACAAGGAGTGGTGACCTGTAAACCTGACAAGAGCAGAGGCGTCTGCTTGCTAGGGAAGGCAAGGGTGTTGAGGGGGCTCTCAGCTGAAATGGAAGCACAGGCTGGTAGGAGGGCTTCTTCCCCTGCACACACGCTCTTGCAACCCCACAGACTATGTCTTGGCCTTAGCTATTTGGGTAAGAAAACTTCTGCGAACACACTAAGAATTTGGATGCATAGAAAGTATCCATCTATTCCTAGGATCGAACCGGGTCTCCAGAATGAGGTCATGTGCTCTTCCACCGTGCCCACCATTGCCTGGTGTGACAAACTGCCAGAGAGGGAGCCTCTGTGTAGAGCTGCAGTAGGGTACAGGGTTCGGACACTGTTTGTCATTCTGGGAGATGGAGCAGATAAGACCTTTCACCTGCTGAAAGATCAAAGCTCAAAGGCTAGCTTGCCGCTGGACCCTAGGAGGACCAACTTAGACCCAGGAAAGGACACTAAGCCTGCCGGTGCTATTGGAGGAGCAGGGGAACTGCAGCTGGCTCAGCACCAAGGTCAAATGTGGCAACCAACTTAGGGCTGACACGATAGGCTTGGCGGTGTGATGGGACACATCCATTCCTTAGTTACTTCCGTCAGACTCCTCCCATGGGAGGGCAAGGATCCCTACCCCCACCCCATTCAGTTAGAGGCCTCTGCATGGAGGCCACATTCCCAGGATACCTCTGTCCCAGCTGGGTGGATGGCCGGGCATGCTTTTCTACATCCAGACTTCGGCAGACCTCAGTGTGAAGCAGTCAGGTGGAGGACTGAGCCTTGATCTGCCTAGGTCAGAGGACGGCGTGGGCTCCTAGACAGCCCAAGGTGCTGTGTAGCAATCCATCCAGACACAATGGCATAGATTAAAACAGCCAAGCCGTTTCCACTTGGTGCCATACCTGGCTGGAGCTGGATGGAGACTGGGCCCTGGAAGTCTGGAATGCATTGTTGCTTGTGTGCTTTGTAGAGAAGGCTCTCAGATATTCAGGGCCCCTTCTTCTCCCTCTCTAGGGTCTACACTCCAGGGTGAACAGCCTCCTTCTGGACACTTGAAGCATCTAAGGGAGGGTTCTGAGAGTCAGGCAAGAACTTAGCCAAGATGCCATCTTCCCTTCCTTACAGAGATGGCTAACTCAGCAGGCACTTTCGGTGGTACTGGTGACAGGCGAAGCCTCTGGTGTGCAGCAGTCCAGAGCCATGGAAGGTGAAGGAGTGATAGCAAGAGCAATAGATCAGCTCAGAGGTGGCCAGCATGGAGGAGAAGTGGGGGCAACTTGTAAGCGGCAGGAGGCCTGGCTGAGGATTTGGAACTGGGATGGGGAGAAGAAAATCTGGGGGAGAGCATTGAGGAGGATGTGAGCCCATCAAATAGGTTCCCTGGTGCAAAAAGTCCCTTCGGAGATTGGAAAGGTGGCTCAGTGCTTCACGGCATGGATTGCGTGATTGCCCAGGTTCAATTTCCAGTGCCCACTTCAGGCAGCTCACAATCACCTGCAATTCCAGCCTCAGGGAGCCCCCGGCTTCCCAGGGCACCTGTGCTCATGCACACACTTACTTACACACAGACACACATGCCTGACTTTAAAAGTATCTTCACATCTCTGTTTGGGATTTCTTCACATTTACTTGTTTGTTGATGTGTGTGGGGGCCATGAATGGGTGTGGTATCTGCTGTGGTGTGCAGGTGGAGGGTGGAGAACAAACTGAGGGGGTTTGGGTTTTTCCTGCCACACTGGGTCCAGGCTGTCAGGCTTGGAGGGAAGTGCCTTTACCAGCAGAGCCATCACTTCAGCCCTATTTTGGGTTTTTATTTAAAAAATGAAAAACAAACAAAAACATGAACTGTGGTTAAGGCATGAATATCCGAGTTCTAGAATATTCCTAGAGCTGATAGTATGACTGTATTTGGAGCCAGGCTTCAGGAAAGTGATTAAGGTCAGATGAGTTCCTAAGTGGAGTTTCAATATGATAGGGCTGGTGCCTTAGAAGAAGGAAAGGGATATCAGAGGCCCGCCCTTCATCTCTGTGCACCTAGGACAAAGGCCATGTGAGGCCACCGTGAGCAGGCAGCCACCTGCCAGTCACCAAGAGGGGCTCCCTGGGACACTTTGATCTGGAATCTCCAGCCTCCAGAAGAGCGAGACTACAATTCCATTGTTGAAGCCACCCAGCCTGTGGAACTTTGTCCTGGCAGCCCCACAGCAGACGGACACAGCTGTCAGCTTACGTTTTTATGTTTGCGTTTCTTTGAGAGCCTCTTTATTCTGAGGTTGTTTTGTATAGCCACTAGGGAGCCACAGGACTCTGTGTGAATCTATCAAATGCAGAGCACATAGGCTCCAGGCTATCTACCTCATGTCCACAGGCAAAAGTGTCCTGAGAAGCTGGTTGTGAGTACCCCCTCACCAACAACCATGCCCAGGCAGAGGCCTCATCATTGTGTTCATGAGCTTAGCTTGCAGTGAACCAAGCAGGCAAGGATTTTGATTTGGGAGACATTGCTGACCAGCTATAGGGCGTGGGAAAGTTACTTCAAGTTGTCTGAGCCTCAGTTTTCTCCTGCGTAATAGGAGGGGAATAACATCATCACCTCCTGGGGGTGCTATGAGGGCCCAAAGAGCTTGCATACGCCAAACATTTAGCATGGCGTAGCATAAGACAATGCAACCCAGAGCTTGCTGGGTGTCATCACCAAGTTCCAAGTCAAGAAGAACCGTTGTGACGCAGCCTTTAAGAATGAATATCGGAGGGGAGAAGCGTGGCTTCTCTTCTGCTCTCACTTGAACGCGCTACAGTGGAAGGCATTGACTAAACTGCCTGATTCCACTGCCTGTAGGGGCCACAGTAGCAGGGGCCACCCAGGCCAGCTGCCTGATACTAGACGGAGACCCCTTGGGGGTGGCTTTCTGGATCGCTAGATTTTCTAGTTGGGCTACAAAGACTAGAAAATCAGTTTTCTTCAAGGAGAAGTGTTTGAATCCTTAGCTGGTACAAAAACTGCAGAGACTGCACACGAGCAGGGCAAGGTGACTATTTGTTCCTCAGACGGCTCGGGAAAGTCGGCATGGGACAGAAAACATCCTCACCAAGTCCCCGCTTGCTACCCTGAGGTAACGGTGGAGGGATGAGGGAGAGAGATCTCCGTGGAAGAGGAGGCCGTGTTTTGGAGGAAAGACAAACCTTCCATTCATCCTGGGTGATTTTTGGAGGGTGTGGCAGGAGGTGAGGCTCAGAAAGAAGCTATCAGCATCCACTGTCCCCTCTGCTCTGCATATGGGTTCTCTGCCACTTCCCTCAGCAAAATGGGCCTTCAAGAAAGATCCCAAGCCCACCTCCCATGGGGCTTTGCTTCCTGTGGAGCAGAGGCCTGTGGAGCCCGTGGAAAGAGCTTTCATATTCCCGTCTTTGGCACCAGCTGGCAGCTGTGACAGGATTCCAGGCGATGACCTCACGAACCTGCACACTGTCATTACCGTCCCCAGCACTGCCAGCCGGAACAACAGAACTCCCACTTCAGCGTGACCTACTTCTGGCTCTGAAATCACACTCCTAGACGGCTGCCTCCCTCATTCCGAAGCACGTGCTGCAGGGAGAACACATTAAGGAGTATTTGTCCCTCAACGTCCCGCTGAAAGCAAAATGACACCGCAAGCAACCAGAGCTAAGCGTGGGGGTTGTAGAGAGAGGGCAATGACTGCTGTGGGGGCAGGAACTGCTCTCTGGGGAGTGAGCAGACCCACACCGCCAAGGAATGGAGATACGGGACGAACTGCTCAGCAGCACCGCTCCTCAGACGGAGATTCAAAACGGCGCCACATCTCGTGCTACTTAGGATTCTCTATGTGAACAGACCCCCAACTGGGTGGATCTGTTTTACATAGCACATTGATTAGATTGGCCTAAGGATGCACGTAGTCCAGCAATGGTCTGTATGCTAGTGAGAAGCTGGGAACCCACGAGCTACTTCTCAGTCCACTGGGCTGGTTACCTCAGCAGCCCCCCACTGGTGCTGAAGGTCTGAGAAATCCTGCAGAGTCGCTGGTGTTTTGTCCTTGGCACCCAAAGAAGATGGGTGCCAAGGTCAGCAGCAGAATGGGAAGAACACATTTACTGGCCAGGAACAAAGGCAGTCTGGGAGCGCTGATACATATCTTACTGGGAGTTTAAGGCCAGCGTGATCTACAGATGGAGCTCCAGGCCAGCCAGGGCCATATAGTGACATTTTGTATTCAAAACAAACAGAAAACCAAGGCAGGCAGGTGAGGTCCTCTGAGCTCTTTCTGTCTAGGCTACTGTTACTGACAGGTGCTGTTCACTGGTACTTTCTCACAGACCTGCCCCGTCTCTTAGTGGACTCTAGATGCAATCAAGTTGATAGCTGAGATGAACATCACACAGTGAGAGCCCAAACTCTGTAACCTCACGAATCCTCTATGGACTCTGTGATCTCAATATCCCAAACTGTGAGTGATCAGAGATGAGGGGTCTTTAAAATAAGGTTGTGGGTGGATCCTAATACAGGCTGGCCAGAGGGGTCAGAAGGGAGCATGCTTGAGTTTGAATCTGAACCCAAAGCCTGGTGTTGAAGGATTCCTGCCCACGGTGCCTTTGAGAGCTGGTGGCCCTTTAAGAGGTGGTGCCTAGTGGGAGCTTTGCTATTCTCTGAGGGTGTTGGGAGAAAGTGGAATCTGCCCCTTCTTTCTCCCTCTCTTTGGGTCCCAGGATAAAAAAGATATTTGCCCCACCCTTCTACCTTGATGTACTGCCAGGGTCTCAGAGTAATGGGCTACCTGACCACAGTCTGACACCCCACCCCCCAACTGAGCCATAGTGACCTTTTCCTTCTCCTTTATTGACTTATTGCAGAGATTTGCCACAGGAATAGAACTCTGGCTAACAAAAGAAGGTCGGACACACGGGAAAACACCAGCAGGGCACATACAGAGGGCAGATCATGTGAACAGGTAACAAGAGGGCATCTGTCTGCAAGCCAAGGGAAGAGGCCTCTCACAAGCCAAACTCGTCAACACCGCGGTCTCAGGTTTCCAGTTTCCAGACCTGTAAGAAAGTAAATTTCAGTTATTTAAACTGCTCAATCTGTGGTATTTTGTTATGTGAGCTCTAAAAAACCAATACATATACCAAAAAAAAATATTTCTTTTAATTAGCTGCCTAGGATAAATCAGCTGGTTTCCATTGCTATGGCTGGTGCCGGGAAGTACAGAGCCAAATGACCAGTTGGAGCCACCACAATGACTGGAGTGAGTCCACTTTCGGGGAATAGGATACCTGATCAGGCTAGTTGTAGGGGTATAGAGGGTGGGGGCGTGGTGCGGGGTATGCAGAATGGGAGGTATGAAGAGTGTCTGTCTGTCTGTCTGTCTGTCTGTGTAAGGAAAACTGGGGATGTGGAGAGCGAAAGGCATGGAGAATGAAGGGTGTATTCCTTGTGGAGAAGGTGACTTCGGGGTACAGAAAAGATTTGGTTTTTCTCTAGATCCCCATATTTCAACTGAGGCTCACTGCTATGGGTAACATCTGGGACACTTATCCTCTAAACTGTGTGATGTGTTCTGAGACAGAACTAATACACACATCTGCCTTTCACTAAGGGACACATGAGGGACATTTTTAGTTTTAAATTTGTGTGTGCAGTGTGTGTGTATGTGTGTATATGTGTATATGTGTGTATATGTGTTTGTGTGTGTATGCATGTGTGTATATGTATTTGTGTGTGTATGTGTATATATATGTGTGTATGTATATGTGTATTTGTATGTATGTGAGTGTGTGTGTATGTATGTATGAGTGTGTTTATGTGTGTATGTATATGTGTATTTGTGTGTATGTGTGAGTGTGTGTATATGTGTGTATGTATGTTTGTATGTGTATGTATGTATGTGTGTGTTTATGTGTGTGCATGTATATGTGTATTTGTTTGTATGTGTGAGTGTGTGTGTATTTGTATGTGTATGTATGTGTGTGCTTATGTGTGTGTATGTATATATGTATTTGTGTGTATGTGTGAGTGTGTGTATGTATGTTTGTATGTGTATGTATGTATGAGTGTGTTTGTGTGTGTATGTATATGTGTATTTGTGTGTATGTGAGTGTGTGTGTGTCTATGTTTATATGTGTGTGCAGGTGCCCAT